GTGCCTGAACGCCCTGAGGAATCCCAGGAGCGCGCACAGCAATATGGTTATTACCGGATGATATTTGGGAAGAAAGTGCTAATGGGCAATCTGGTGTTTATTTTGAAACTGCTAACAATGATTTTTCTCTGGTAAAAAGGCAGTGTCTGGGCGCACGGCTGAGTGGGCTTTGAGCATGGGCTCTAACAGATGGTGCGGAGCTCGAGGTGCGGGATCGGCCCTCCGCTCCCGGCGCCCGCCGGGCTGGGGGAAGCGCTGGGCTCCGAGCAGCCTCCCTGCCTGTTCTCCTGCTTCCCTGCCTGTTCGCATCCCTGCCTGCCTCTCTCCCCGCGACCCTGCCTGCGCTCAGCGCCCCGGGGCCGGGGGTGCAGAGCCAGCCCCCCGCAAACCCCAGCGGTGTTAACGAGGGCTGCGGGTGATGCCGAGCCGAGCCCCCCGCACGGCTCCCCCCGGGGCTCCGCTCCGCCAGCCCCGCGGAGGGGCCGGGGGGGGTCCCCACCTCCAGGTATTGTTTTGCAAACAGAGGGGGTCATAGATGACAGCGCAGACATAACAAGGCGACTGTGGCCGCGAGTGTTTGTTGTCGCAGCGTGCCATATAACTTCTGGTGATTGTTACTTTTCCTCTGATGAAACCACGTATTTATAAGTGATTTATTTTTTATTTTGTAGCACAAACAGAAATCCATAAACTGTCGGTTCAGCGCCATTGACTCTTTGATCAGTTACTGGTCTATTTTTTTTTTCTCTCCCGTCAGTGAGGAGAGATTAAAAGCCTTTATTTTCAGCCCTTTTTCTGCTGCAAAAGTACGAGCCGAAATGGACAATAAAAGTGCACTTCAAATGTATCCTCTTAGCTCCTTTATTCGGCGCTAACGAAACTTATAGCCGCCTATGTCAGCCTCTTAATTACACTACTACAGCGATTTCCGAAAACATTTAGCTGCTGTATACAAAGGAAATAAACCCACATTGTCAACTCGAGAGCGCTCCGGAGTTTAAAAGCCTCCTCTGTAACCCAGCGAAATAATTATTGAAGGGTACGACGCCTCCGTCTTTGTCAGAGTAATTGTACTTGGCCTGTCAGCTCTGCTTTTCTCCGGGAGGAAATCCCACTATTTTACTCCTGGAGACGTTTAGATCCAACCCGGGTTTAGTCAGGAAAAGTAGAAAGTTTCTGCGGGGTTGCAGCGCGGCCGTGCGCGCAGCTTGCGCGGGGCCCACCCCGACCCGGGGGATTCTCCTGCCCCTGCCTCGGGGGCTACAAAGTTCCCAAAAATAATGGATGTGGGCAGGCCGGCCTCGGCTGGGAGTGCAGAGCACGCAGGGGTGTTACAGCCCGGCAGATTGAGGGAATGGTTTTAATTTCCATCGCTGGGATCTGATTTCCAGAACACTGTAAATTATTCCCCATTCTCACCTTTCTCCTCACCTCCCCCCAAAAATTTTGAATGAATCATAATTTTAAAAAATCATGAAATGTCACTGATGAAAAAAAAATAAAATAAAGAAAAAAGAAATAAAGTTGATTAAATCCCAAGCTCTGTCTGTAATTGCTGTGGTGCAATGCTGATAACACGTAGTTATCATCGGAAAAGTTGACCAAGACAGGTTAAATAATTTAATAAGGAACTGCTTGTAATTATGTTATTTACAAGGTATGACAGAGGTTTGAGGAAGAAACAGAAGCTGATCTCAGGGAAATGGACGGGTTTGGGTGACCCCTGGAGCATGGAGTTTGAATTATGGAGATGGGGGGCTGAGAGGTGAATATGGACTAGAGGAGAACAAGATGACTTTTCACCTCAGCACATTTAACTTTTAAATCCAAATAAACGTCTCGCGTTACTGGATCGTCGTATTATAAAAGAAAAAGGACTAATCCCGGTCAGTTTCGGAGTGTTGGCAAGAGGGCTGACCTCTCCTCACCGAGGAAAAAATATCGCCAGGAAAAAAAGTTACAAATGGGAAAAAGTGCATTGAAAAATAAATCTGTGCAACTCGATGGGATTTTTTCCCCCTTTCCTTTCTCCCTCGCTAAATTAATTATATCAAACATCTGTTCCCATGACGTTGTACTCAATGCCACACACACTACTGAATGATGCCAACGCTGCCTCGAAGAGCAACAACACACCTTTTTCTCTTTCCCAAATATCCTCCGGTAATAGGGATCTCAATTAGCAGGTAGCTGATTTACTCGCTCAGGTAAATCAGAAATAGGTGCGCTCTACTGGTTTACTCTCCCCTCTCCCCACGCCCCCCCTCCCCACGCAAGGGCAAAATACAAACTTCGTAACTCGCGTGGTAAGAAAAGCGTAAACTTTCTCACCTGTTTGGTCATTGAGTCTATTAGACGAACATACAGGTCCTGCTCTGTCCTAACTCCTGGGGAGGGAAAGCAGAGACAAATTCCAGTCAGGATTTAGGTAGCGAACCACCCCAATTCCACAAGGAAAGGATGAGGTCAGGCAATTAACCGCGGCGGGCAGGGATCGGCCCCGCGCCGGCTCAGAAAGAAAATTCAAAATTAAAAAATAATAACAATAATAATAAAAAAATCCAGATATCAGCTGGTGGCGGAGTTATGCTCCCCTCCTGTTCCCGGTGCTGGGGTACCGTGCCCGGGCCAGCCCCCCCGCCCCCGGCCGGGTTGTGCCGGCCCCACGGCCCCGGGGAACACGCGGGACCCCCGCACTGGGGCTCCCCGGCCCCCCGCGGGTTTTCCGCGCCCGAGGAAGCGGCTCCGCCGGGCCGGGCCTCTGCTCTGCCCGCTCACCCCATCCCAATGATTACCATTAATTCCCAAAACTGAAGGGAAAAAAAAAAAAAAAGTGCCTTAAAAGTGCCGCTGTGCCCGAGCAGCCATCGATCCCCTTTTTTACTTTCCACTTCAAGCCCAACCGGTTAATCATGTGAAGTACCATTGACTTATCGATCCTTTACGTTTTGTTTTCCTTATATGCCAAGGAAAGAGCCGTGTTTACACGCGTGTAATTTTAATCTCGAAATCTTTATATCCTTTATCCTCCCCTCTCCCCCCCCCCAAAAAAAGGCCTCGAAAAGGAACATCAGACTTTTCTGCGGCACGCGGACGCTCAAAAATGAGAGAACGACAACTTACCATTGCTATACAATAACTGAAGTTTATAATGAATCCCATTGTTAGTTTTTTCATTGTTTGGCTCCTGCAAGTAACGATAAATAATTACATTTAGCATGAAAAATATCGCCCTCCTCCTGACGCACATTTTTCTCGTCCCTGAAGCGGCTCGGAATTAACAGTTTGAAGAAATTCAGCCCACGGTCACTTTTTTTTTTTGGTGGAGCGCTGATGATGTCATTAGGTCGGTGCAAATATGTCATGTTTTGCCGTTTTCCCGGTGTTTAATATATAAGTCGGGGACGCGGCGATAAGTTTCTAACCCCGGGGTCTATTCGGAGCGGCCGTGAGACCGGGGGGACCCGCACGTGGCGTGGGCGCCGCTGGAGTGCCGGGGAGGGCTTCGAGGCTGGGAATGAGCTTGGGTCAATGAAATCACGCTTAAAAAATTTAAAAAAAAAAAAAAAAAAAAAAAAAAAGATAACAGGCAGACTTACTTTCTCTTTCTCCACAAAGTCCACAAAAGCTGTTCTCTCAATCTCCACCGGCTGTCCCTGCCTGTCGTACAGAGCTAAGACGAAGTGGAAAAAATTGGATTTTCTGAGATTGGAAGGCGGCTGTTTCTCGAAATGTGCCCGAGCCAGCCCCACGCCGCTGCGGGAGAAAACAAGACAAGGCGTGGGTGAGAGCGGCGGGAAGGGGCGCGCAGGCTCCGCGGCCGCGGGGAGATGCGGGGGGATGCGGGGAGCGCGGAGCGGGGAGGCTGTAACTGATACGGGGCGGGCGGGGGAGTTGAGGGGGATTTACGGCCGGGATGAGAAATACAGGAGGAGAAAACCGCCGGGAGAAGATTTGGCAGACGTACCTTTGGGCGGCCGTGTTAGCATCCACTACCCCAGCAGTATGCATCCATGAGCGGACCGGGTTCATCCCACTGCCCAGCGGTTCTTCTTTCATGGTCGTCCCACCTCTTGGTATATTTTCCTGAATCCCAAACATTAAAACAAATTTGGGCAAAACCAGCTCCTAACCAAAAGGGGTTAAAATTGAGGGAAATGTCAGATACGGGGTGGGTTGGTTGTTGCTTGATTTTCGCTCTCTCTCTCTCCTTGGCGACTGGAATATAAGAGATGACTTTACTCCCTGTGATCAGTAGGAGAAAAGCCCAGTTCAAGTCTTGCTTCCTTCTTCAATCTGTCCTGTATTGGCACGACATAAACAATTTACTGAGTACTTCTGTGCGGCGAGTTGGATGGCGTTCCAGTTTGGTGGTTTAAAAAAAAAAAAAAAAAAAAAAAAAAAAAAGAAGGAAAAAGTATAACTGCAGCCGGCGACACTGCGAGGTGGCTTTTTTTTTTGGCGGGGGAGGGGGGAAAAAAAGAATAAATATTTTTGTTGTTGTTGTTTGCAGACGCGCTCAACGTGGTGTCATCCTAGTAAAAACCGGCTCGGAAAAAAAAAAAAAGCTTCAGGACACTGCTGAATCGACCACTTTCTGGCAAGGCTCTCCTGCTCCAAAAGACAAAAAAACGGGGAAAAAAAAAAAAAAAAAATCCTGATTACCGCGGAGGTGTTCCCGGGCACACGGGAGAACGGGGCGCGGGCCCGTGGCGTCTCGCGGAATGGACGGAGGCGCGCAGAGCCCGGCCCTCCCTCCCCGAGGAGCGCGCCCCTTCCCCGGGAGTCGGGCCCCCGCCACCGCGGGAGAGGTGGCGTCACTGATGACGTCGTTAGGGGGCGGGCACACCGCCTTATATGGAGCGTGGGGTTCGGTCGCTCGCTGTCGCGATCCTGCCTTGCCCCGACCCCCCCCCAACCCCTCCCCGACGGGGGGGGCAGGACAGCGGCGCAGAGGGGTCCCGAGATCTTCTTGCGAGTGGCTTCGAGGAAGCGGGAAGGGGGTGAAACCCTCCTGGCGGGGATGTGACCCGCGTGGAGGGTCGTGGGGAGGTTTGGGGATGGACAAAGGGTGGGATGCTGGATGTGCCCCTCCACGATCGCCTCTCTATAAATGCACGGGTGGATATGCCCAGAAATACCGGTATTTGAAGACTTCATGTGCACACACAAATACATCCACAGATATAGGTCCACCTTGTCCATCTATATCTATATATATATACTTCTCCATATAAATATATACTTATATACATTTATATTTTTATACATATATCTCCTTCTCAAGTGATGAGCTTTTTCCGCTCAGTATGGGCTACGACTTCCTTTCTTTTTTTTTTTTTTTTTTAATTTTTTTAATTTAATGTTTTTTTGGTATTTATTTTTGTGATTTGCCCAAGTCCCTGTGTTAATATTTCACCTTCTCGGTGAAAATCGGCATTAATATCTGAATGAATCGGTGAAAATCGAAAGTCCGATTTGTGTTATCAGGATCCCCTTTCTCCAAGGGGTGAGGGAAAAAAAAAAAAAAAAAAAAAAAAAAATGTGTTAGAAAGCAATCTATTTTGCTGGTGTTGGGGGTTAATGACTATTGCCAAAGATAAGTGAATTATCAAAGCTGTTGCTCTACCCGATCTCAAAATCCATTACATTGCTGGCCGTCTAATTAAATACGTAAGTATAATAAAATCATATTTTATGACTATTTGAGGGTAATGAGATTAGTCTTTAGAAGCGATCGCCACATATTAAAGATGCCACTGTCTATAGAATGTTAATAACCTTAAATCAAAGTGTATGGAAACTATTCATGAGAAATTAAAAGAAAATTCCTGTATTCATAATCAGCCCGGAGCTTTTGAGGTACAGTAGAGCAGATTACAAACCCAAACACTTTTATCGCTCAGCGATACCAAAGTTCCCAAACAATGCGATGCTCGCCGTGGCATTTGGTGGCACGAACACATTTGGGGACCTCGAGTGGGCACCGGGGGCCGCCGATCCCCCCAGACCGCAAAATCCCCTCTCCTAAAAATAAGGTAAAAAATGCCCAACACCGCTATAATTTTAAGATATTTCCTCAAATGAACAACGCCGAAGTTGGTGCTTCCCCTCCGCTAACGAAAGCTTAAAATCATTTACAGTATCTTTAATTCAGATTACACGCGCCAAGGCGATTTAAATCTGATTACCAAATTAGAAGGTTTTAAAACAAATCCTTTTAAATCTGATACTGTTGACTAAGGAGGGGAGAAAAAAAAAGTTCCATAAGCCCATCACATAAGGTAACGATCCTGCCCCAGAAAGAAAGGGAGTTTTAAACCTTTTTGACAACAAATGCAGCTGCCCCACTATTTTGGACGATATTAAGCGAAAATGAATGCAAATCTGTGTTCAGAAGCCATCTGGCCAGGAATGGGGGAATCAGCTGCTCCTCACAACAGGCTCTGAGCCTGAATCTATTTCAGCTCATTTTCTAGATCATCTGGTCCTGCACCCAAAGCGTGGAAAATACGGTCTTTATCATTCACCAACTTTATCTTTTTGTGTGTGTGTGTGTGTCACTGTGGCTGGAGCTGCCGGCGGTCGGGAGCCCGCCCGGGATGCTCTTGCCCGCACCGCCCCGCGCCGCCCCGCACCGCTGCCAGGCCGGCATCCCGCCCTCGACAGGTCCTCCCGGTTCTCCCGGCCGGGGAGGGAGGGGAGCAGAGCCTGGGCAACCCCCCCAGGCCCGGGCCCGCTCCTGGGGTGCGGGATCGCGTCCCCGCCACCGCCGCACCTTGCGCGGGGCAGGCGCGGGGAGCGGGGCCGCGGCCGGCGCCGGGCGGGCAGGGGGTGTGCGCGGCTGCGGGGGGCGGCCCGAGCCCTCCCGGCTCCGCGGCCCTCCTCCTCCTCCTCCTTTTCCACCTCCTCCTCCTCCTCCTCCGGCGCCAAGTCTCCCTTTTGTGTGAATTTACGGGGTGAGGCTTCAGTGATCCCCCCGCAAATTTGCATTTAAATAGCGACATCAAGCGATGCGCGTGCCACACACCAGCGGGCTCCCAGATGTCACGGCGGAGCCGCTCAGATGGCCGCAGCCCAGCTGTCCCCCGGCCCGGCCCCACTCCGCGCCCCCCGCGCCCCGCACCGCCCGTGCGGGCAGACCCCGTCGCCGCCTCCGAGCGCGTCCTGCTGCCCCGCACCGCGGCCGGACACCGCATCCCGCGCTGCGCGTGGGTTAAAATTGATACCCTTATCCCGCCGCCCTCGTAATATCGCCTTAAACTTTATTATTTTATTTTTTCCTCCCTCGGGACAATCCCCTCGGGACTATTATCTTAATCATTTCACTTTTTTTTTTTCTTTCCTTTTTGTTGTTATTATTTTTTTTATTTGTTTCTCATTTCACGGTTTGATCACAGAAGTTTGAGAGCGTGATTTTGGTAGTTTCGGTGTCTCCTCGGCCGCGGGCCGGCCCCGAGCTGCCCAGCTCCGCGCTTCCCACCGCACAAACTTTCCCAGTGGGAAGTTGCGGTGGGAGTGGGGAGCGGCAGCTCCGGCCCTGCCCTTGGGGGGCTCGGCCGGGCCCCCGCAGCTCGCCAAGGTCCATATTTCAATTTTATTGTTGGAAGGCGCCTTCCTTACTGACGCGCCGGGTTACACCGGGTGTAATTTATGCCCGGTGTAACCAAAACAAATCTCTGCCAACCCCCGCTCTGCAGGAGGGAGAAATGGCTATTTTCGGGTAAATCTGTGGTTTCGGGTGTTTTCAGGCACGGCGGCTCCGCGGCCGGTGCTCCAGGGCGTTAGTTCCCGGGGAGGCGGTGATGGGCGCGGGGGCGCAGCGCCGCGGGGCTCGGCCCGGCCCTTGCGCGGGGGTCGCGCATCCTGCGCCCAGGGCAGAGGCCAGGCCGGGCCCAGGAGCGGAACGGAGCACAGGACCGAACGCTGCCACCAGTGTTTTGGGACACATCGACCTCCGCCGCCGCCAGCCGAGGCCCTCAGCGCCCCGCAAAGGGCACAGGTTGCGGGAAGGCCGCCCGCGCAGAGGTGCGGGACTCCCGAGTTGCCCGGCTCCGCTCACCGCCCGCCTTTCGGCATGGATTCACCCGCTTTGGGCCGGTTTCAGTGCTTGGATTCACATTCCTGACCATCCCGAGCCCGCTGGAGAACGGACGTGGAAAGCGGTGCGGTATCACCGCCCGCATCTGCCGCCCGCCCCGCCGGGATGGGGAGGGGGCTGCCCCGCTCCGCGCCCCGCGCAGGCACCGCAGGGCGTGCACTGGCTGCGTGGGGATGCTGCGGGACTCAGGGTGGCTCAGAGGGTCTGTCCCTGCCCTTGCCCGGGCCGGGCCACCCTGGGCCTCCTGGGCCGCCCGCGCACCTCCCGCGGCCCTGCGCGGCCCGCGGCCAGGCTGCTCGGCAGCGCGGTGGGTCCTGCTCGGGGTCACGGAACTCCCCGTGGGTGCAGGGCTGTTTTACCCAAACTGGTGCTCGGCCCCGCGCTCCTCCCGGCGCGCTCCCGCGGCCCCGTGCCCCGATATTGTTACACCAAAATTAGTTCTTAAGGGAAAAGAAAAAAAAAAGGAAAAAATAGAAGAAAAAGAAAAAGGCTTAAACTTCCGCCGTGCTCGGACGGGAAAACTCCCCGCGGGCGCTGCCCGGCTCCCGAAGGCGCGGCCGCGGCGGGCGCGCTGCCCTCCCGGTCCCCGCGGGATGCGGGGCCGCGGCCCGGGGGTGCTGAGGGGCCGCCCCGTTTCTGCCCTCCCGGGGCCGCGGGGAGGGGGTTTGAGGGGGCTCGGAGCCGCTCGGGCGGAGGGGCGGCCGCCCCCGCGGAGCAGCGCGGATGCGCAGCCGGGGGCCGCAGGGAGCTGGCGGCCGGACAGGTCCCGTCGTGCGGCGAGAACAATATAAACTGACTCCAACTGAACAAACAAGGATCGATCAGATAATTTCAGATATTATAATTGGCTTTAATTAAACACACTTCGTTCTAATTAACTCTGAAATTTTAGCATGCTTTGGGACGTTGGTGTCTGATTTGATATTGTCAGTCCAGATGTCCTAATAAAATTCAATCCTCCACTCAAGACTTCAATATTCACTAAGAACAAAATGCAAATTAAATGTAAAACCTAAAGTATCGCCAAAGGTATAATCAAGAAAGGTGTCTCAAAACTTCTCACTTTTTATTACGCAGTAGTTAGAAAATGCAGATTACATCCTAACAAGACCTCGACTGAATAATAGAAACCTTAACTCTTTCGTGGTCAGGGCTCGCTCTGCCCTGCAGGGATCCGGGAACATCCTCCGCCAGCGCACGGGAAATGCCCACGGTGCGGGGCTCCCGCACGGACCGGGCGCGGGGAGGTGGCGGGGCCCCGCGGAACGGGCTGCTCGCCCCACCACACTCTCGGAGCAAAACTTCCCGCTGTCACAGGCACTTCTGTCCCCGGGCGACCAGCGGTGCAGCCCCGGCTCGGCCGGGTGACCACATCCCGCTCCCGCACGGCAGAGATGCGGGAGAGCCCCGGGAGCGGGGCCGGGCCGGGGCTGGGGCAGAGCAGCTCTCACCCACCCAGCGGGACAGGAATGCCCCGAGAGGGGACACACCGGGCCGAGGTCCCCGTCCCCTCGCCCCAGAGCTGCCTCGCAATTTCCCCGCAAGCCACAGCGCTCCTGTAAATAATTAAAGCCTCCCGAGCGGGTCGGCGGCGCGGGATGCTGCGGGGAGCCCGCGCGGTGCCTCCCCGGCCGGCGGCTCCCGCGGGGGTCCCGGGATGCTGCACCGGGGGACCCCCAAGCTGGGCTCGGCGCCAGCCCACCGCCTCGCTGCGCTCGCCGAGCTCCAAAAGCCAGGCTATTCCCACATTAAACATTTGTATGTTTTCCATGCTAATGGAGTCACTTAAAGCTGTTGCTAATTTAACTTTTTAAAAAGGCCACAGCGTGGTGATTTGCATTTTCTTTAGGATATTGAAATGAAGGGAAAACTGCTGGGCGGTGAGGCTGCCCCGAGCGTAGCTGGGGGCCATGCCGGAATGAAAACCGGGAAAGAAAAGAAGAAAGAAGGAAACCGCCGCCTCTTCCCGACTGTTAATAAGCAATTTGTCCCGCCGCGATTTACATTGCAAAGACAAACGTGTCGGGGCGCCCGGCCCGGCCCGGGGCCCCCCGGGCCGCTCCCCGGCTCCCGCTTCCCCGACAGCATCCCCGCAATCCGTGCTCCCTCTCCCGTCAGGCGCGCAAGTCCCGCGGCCGCGGGCGGCCAGCGGGTGGCCCGGGAGCTCCCCGCGCCCCTCGGGCTTGAATTTCCAATGAATTTCCGAGCGCCCCGGTTTGGGTAAACAACAAGTGCTGGGATGGCCGTTTCCCTCGGCAGATCCCCTCTCGCCGCCGCCGAGGCTCTGTAGCGTGGGGACCGTGTGCCATCTACAGGACACTGCGCGGGCGGCCGCGCTGCGCGCCCCCGGCCCCGCCGCTCCCGCTCCCCCCACCGCCTCCACGATCGACCATTGATTATTTGTTATTTCAACTTTTTTTTTTTTTTTTTTTTTTTTAAACCCCATATTAAAACTTTGCGGAGATAAAAGCTGCGGCGTTGCATGCAATATTTTAATTTTTTTTTTTTTTTTTTAAAAGAGGTGAAATGTAAAGATAATGCGATTTGATTTGTTAGTCTAACTCCGCGATTTGAGAGTTGATGTCCCCAAAGACCGGGCGAGCTTTTTCCCTTTATTTATTTTTATTAAAACATCAATCTACTCTGGAGCTGGGTGAACTCAGTTTCACCTAGAGAACATAAAATTCTCCATACCAAGGAAATAAGCACCTTTCATAAATCAACAGTATTCCTGACAGATCGATCAATTTTTGGTTGTTAATCCGAAAGGAGGAGTTTTAATTGCTTTCTGCCTTTTAGCCCGGCCACCCCGGCGCGGCTGTTCTGGCAGTGCCCGGCTCTGCCCTCCAGTGCTCGGGAGGGGGGAAAAAAAGCCCGGAGACCCTTCCGCGCCGCCGATACCCCGCGCAGGGCCGCGCAGGGCCGCGCAGGGCCGGGCACACTCCTGCCCGGCCGCAGCATCCCCGCCGCGCTGCCTGCGCGCAAGCGGCCGGGACGCGCAAACCCGCGGGTGCAGCCGAGACCTCTCGCTGCGGGACAGATGCGGGCGCGCAGGAACGCGCAGGGTGCGCGCAGAGGCGGCCGCCCCCGCGCACGGCCCGGTCCAGGTAAGCGGGCGCTCCGCCACCCGCGCCCCCCGCCCGCGCCCCGTCCCGCACCCCCAGACCCGCGCACCGGCGGCCGCGGGCGCTTACCTTGCGCGGGCGTGCGGGGGGCGCGCGGAGGGCAGCGCTCACGGAGGAGGGGGACGCGCGGAGTGTGCGGGAGCTCCCCGCGCTTTAATACACTTCTGGCCCAGCGCAGCGCGGCCGCGGCGCGGGGGGGCCCGGCGGTGCGCGGGGCGCAGCAGTGCGCAAGCGCCCCCGCGCTCCGCGCTGCGCGGGCGGGGGCGGGCGGGGGCGCGGGGCGCCCGCGGGGGCGGAATCGGCGGCCTCGGCCCCGGGGGAAGAGCGGGGGCTAACCCGCACCTCGGCCCGGCCAGGCCGGGCCGCCCCGCACCGCGTCCCCCTCCCCGCATTCCCCGGGACTGCCCCGCGTCCCGTCCTGTGACTCCGTGGTACCGCATTCCCCCTCTCCCCGCATCCCCCGGGGCTGCCCCGCGCCCCGTCCCGTCCGTCCCGGGACGCCGCGGTACCGCATCCCCCCTCTCCCCGCATCCCTCCGGCCCCGCGTCCACGCAGCAAAACGCTCCAGAAACGCAACAGTTTGTCCCGCGGGAGCTGCGACCCCTGGGAATGTCCCGCGTGGGAACTCACCGCTCCTGGCTCCGCGTCCCACGCGGGAGAGGAACTGTCGGCGAGGCGCTGGTCACATCTTTCCCAACTCTTTTTAATTCCCCCTCTCCAGCCGGAGCCGGTGCGCACCTCCCGCCTCCTCAGCCATACTGGTGCGATACTGGTGCGATACTGGTGCGATACTGGAGGCACTGGGCTCGCAGAACTTCTCAGCTGCGTTGCACTTCGATTTGAGGCGCGTGTGGCCGCGCCGGGGATGCGGCGCGCAAGGAACGCGACTGGCTGGGAGAGAGTTTATTTTGTTTATTCCAGCTCTTCCTTCCCCTCCCTCTCCCAGTTTAGCCCAGGAACTCCTGCAGCATTGGTTAATCCTCGAGGAGGGAGAACTGCTGAGATCTTTAGCGAGCTCTCCCCTACCACGGATACTTCCTAGAGCTCCCGCGTCTCTGTGAGGGATGTACAGCTACGAGATGTGAAGGTATTTAGAAAAAAAAAAAAAAAAAAAAAAGTAGCGGTTTCCAAGTCAGGCAGATTCCTGCTGGGAAGTGAAGCTGGGGTTTAGGAATGGAGCTACATTTATAAAAAATAAACCTACTGGTGTTCACCTTGGTTATAAATTCAGGGAACATTCACCTCCAGGTTTGTTCTGACAGCAGCTACTCGCCGATTTGGTTTAATTTGTACAGAGTGAAGGTTTTTAGCAGTTGGGAGAGGAGGGAGGCTGCAGGTGGTGAGGCAGGAGCTTGGACGGGGTGGTTTAGAGGACATCAGACCCGTGTTTGCGATGGGTACAGGGATGGTGACCACAGCCAGCCAACGTTACCCCTCACCCTGGTGACCATCACAGAGCTTTCAGTTTCTTCTGACCAGGGGAACCTCGTGGGGTTATTTCTGCTGTATTCACTACGGACAAGCTCAGCTGCTGCTTCAGCACCTGGGGAACAGCTCTCTGGATGTGCTGGAAGTGTTGAAAGTTGGGGTCAGCCCTAGCAACGGCAACACAACCCTGGTGTCCTGATGTGTCCCCACCACAGGTACAGTCCGAGAAGGTGCTTCAGCTCAGTGTTTTTTGAAGGGTTTTTCATGCCTGGTCTGTGGTTTGGAGGGTGGACCTGAGGTCTGGGAATCCAGCAGGAATCACCTGACAGGGCCTTAGGAGATCCCACAGGGTAACTGAGGGATCTGGACTTTAATTGTTTTACAACATCTTGACTACACAGGTTGGTAAATTCAGTTCAGGGAATTCATTCAAGGGAAGTTTATAAATCTGATGCCTAGAAAACTGGAAAATGCACAAATTTTTAAAAGTATTCCTGACTGGAAAGGATAAAATGTCTCTGTGGGCTTTGTGAGGTCAGCATGGATGAAATCAGGAGGCAGGGACAGGGAGAGCCAGTTGCTTCCAGGCCTGTGCCCTGTGGATTTCGCCCAATCCAACACCTCCCCACAAACCAAGGAATATTCTGTTGGAAAATAACATGGAATTTGGTTTCATTCACAGTAAATACTTTTTGCATGGAGGCTGAGCTAGTGCCTTATTAAGATAAAAAGGTGTTCACAAAATATTTATCAAGCGGATTCCTTGACAGCCATGTGATATTCCCCAAGGCAGGTTGTCCGTGCAAGTGATGCTCTCCCCAAAACCTTCCCCTTCACACTCCCAAATCAACCCCCCTTTTGTTACAACCCCACAGAAGAGCTGTAAGGCTTGGAAATTAATTGTGTCACTCTCCTCCTGTCTCGAGGAGCATCACCAATGCAGTTTTTAAACATTTAAAAAGATCATGTATTTTTCACATGCTGATTGTGCTCCTCGGAAAAGAAAGGTTGGTTATGCTCCAGCCTTTTAAATCAACAGTGCTGGGGGTTAAATACTTTAGTGGGAAGTGTCAGGGATGTAAGAGGACATTGACTGAAGCCCTGGCCCCTTCCTCAAGGATCTGTCTTTGTGCTCCGCCCGGAATCCCCCGGCTCGGAGCCCTCCTGGCAGCGGGGTCGTGGGGTGGGAGGTCACTCGTCGCGTGGCCACGAGTTCAAGATAGAATGTGGCAGCAGGACCCACCAGGGACCACACCAGCCAAAATCACAGCGACTCCTCCTCCAGCAGCCCGAGCGGGCTGTCAGGCGCGCAGCAACGCAGCCGCTTCTCCCTCCGTGTCAGGGATTCCAAGAGAAACCAGCAGCGACAGGGAATGTTTGCCTCCAGGCCTGTTTGCCAGTGCAAAAATGTTGCGACCTCCTGATGGAGACAGGTGAGGGAAACGTGAGCGCTCGGAAAAAATAAGCAGCGGCGAGAAGAATATCGAATTGAAATAGTGCTATCAGAGAACTCCACCAGCAGACTCTGCTGGAAATTACCCGAGACACCACGGTACAAAACTGCTTCCTTTTCTCAAGGAAAATGATCTAATCAAGATGTATGTGCATGACAATACGCTCGCAGGGAGAGGAAGTTGGAGTTATCTGCTTCAATTACTGCACTTACCCTGTCCCTGTCCTGAAGAAGGAGGCGAATAATAAATATAAACCAGGTTTTTTCCAAGCTGGGTTGAGTAACTCAGCTCACATTGAGTAGTACAGGAAGTAAGAGAAGGAGAAGTTACAAGGTAAAATACTGTGAATATTTCTGGGGCATGAAATATGGAACGAAATAATAAATATTACATGAAATGCTGACTTGCAGACAGTGGCACCTTGATATCCTATAGGACACCAGGATGTGCCCATGAGGGAGAACTGTTTGTGAGCTCCTGGCATGAGAAGGAAAATTAGAGAAGGGTTTTGGGACCCCTTAGTTGGCAAATTTATATCACAGAATCAATCATGGAGTGGTTTGGGTTGGAAGGGACCTTAAAGATCATCTTGTTCCTCCTCCTGCCATGCCCCTTCCGCTAGATCCTACCTGTGTCCATCAATATGGGACTGGCTAAACAAATCTTCTCTTTCCCTTGCTCCTGTTCCTGCTCCATGCTTTGCATCCCAGAAGTGGATTGTTGTGCCAACTGTTGGGGTTGGGACATCCCAAGGCTCAGACACCTTGCTGGAAGAACATCAAGGGTCAAATTCACAGCAGATCATGGATCATGCTCTGCAGCCAGAACCCAAATCAGAAAGGCACCCAGGTGTATCCCACTATTCCAATTACTATTTCCTTCCATTCAGGTTATGTATCATTACAGTATAAATTATGGAAAGGGATGGAATTCCTGTTTGAGCAGCTTCATGAAAAACTGAACTTTGACTGAACACAAACAGCAAATAAAGCGGAAAATGAGATAAAAAATGACGCAGGCCTCAGTTTCTTTGAAGGTGAAATGACTGATCCCAGGTCTCAGCACCTCAGAGACCTGCTCAGGTATGTTTTGAACCCACTAAATAATGGATTTGAGTGTGTTTTCTTTTGTCTGCTTTGTTTTGGGTGGAATTACATCCACAATCTGCTTCTCTGCTGCATTACTAGCAAGGAAAAGTTGTGTTTCGTGGACTGAATTCAGTTCACAATCAAATGCTCAGTTTTGACAAGGCTCAGAGATTTAATTGCCTGACTAATAGGAATTTATGTGTGATAGAGGTAAGAGCTTATTTATTATTTATTGCTTTTATTTTAGGATAACAGCAGTGAAATTTAGATATAAAATAAGAGGCATGTTTTTGAAAAGAAATCCTTATGCCTTGTATGTCAGCATAGAACTGAAGCTGGACAGGCTGACATGACAAATCTGAGAAAACCAGAATTTTGGGATAATTCCATTAATTCATTAGTACATCCTGAATATTAGCAATGTCAGAAGGTGTTTGCTTCCTGCAATGCTCCATTCTGGTGACCTGCTAAAAAGTAACACTTCACTGAAAATACGCTTCACTAGTTTATTTATTTTTGGATTTTTGAAGTGATAGATTTATCTCCTAATTTTACTCTTGCTTCACAGCCTTTTATATGACTCTTGGACAGTTTATAGACACCAGCTGACACCTGTAAAGTTCACCTGAAGCTGTTCAGAAGTTTAAAACGCCTCATGGCAATTTGTCTGGAACTTTTAATGCACAAAAAGGCAAAAATTGGTAAGAGTGGCTGAGGAACTCTTCTGTCCTGTCTTTATAAAGTGGATGTAAACCTGTCAGCTTTTACAGCTGTCCTCACACTGCTTCAACTAAACATATATTTGGAGAGGAGATCTGGCATTTCTCTGCCATCCCAGAGTCCTGCTGCTCCTGATGCCAGCCAGGTCCAGAGCAGGGATGGGGTGTGAGGCAGCTTCTGCAGCATCATCAGCTTCATCAACATCATCAACATCAGCAGCATCAGCACGATCAGCATCTTCATTCCTTCCTGACACTTCACCTGTGGCCATGTGCTGGTTTTTAATTTTATTTAACTTAATAAATTCAAATCAACAAAAATAAAAGAAATAGGAAAGAGAACACCACCAGCCCCCCCATTATATCACTTTGAGAGCTTTGCCAGTGCCAGGCTGCCCCATAAGGGCTTGGTCTAGCCCAGGTTCAGGTGATCCAGGCAATGGGGTTTTGATGGTGTAACATCCCTCAGTTTATTTGGGGTTTTTCAGCACCTTAAAACTTTCTTTGATGAGATCAGATACTTCAAGGGACAAAAAACCCATGACTTGCAATTTGTTCTTTATCCATGCTGTGGCATCCTGGAGAAAACGAGGCTCAGGAGGGAACTTCTCACTCTCTCCAACTCCCTGACAGGAGGGGGGAGCCTGGTGGAGATCGGGCTCTGCTCCCAGGGAACAAGGGACAGGATGAGCAGAAATAGCCTCAAGTTGTGCCAGGAAAGGTTCAGGTTGGACATGAGGAGCAATTTCCTCATGGAAAGGGTGGTCAGGCGTTGGAAGGGGCTGCCCAGGGAGGTGGTGGAGTCCCCATCCCTGGAGGTGTCCAAGGAACAGCTGGACATGGCACTCAGTGCTCTGGGCTGGGGGACAAGGTGGGGATCGGGCACAGGGTGAACTCCATGGGCTTTTCCAACACAGTGAACCTCTGACTTTGTGATCTCTCCTTTAAAACTGGTATTTCCAAACTAACCTAAATATTCAGAAAGGCCAGTAATTATGTATT